GGCGAAATCTCTATGGAAACGCCATTAACACAAAAGTGAAGTGAAGACTACCATCTACATATATGCCAAATTTCATTGAAATATGTTCAGCCGTTTAGGCTACAAACTCTAACAAACATCCATCCATCTAAACTTTCGCATTTATATTATTACAAGTTAATCAGATATAGGGACTTCCTTTTAAGTAACCAATAGGTACTTGTGTTAGAAAGTCCCGCTCTTCCGAGTAACACATAATGTTGTCAGGTATTCATGCACAATCTATACTATTATAATAAAGCGTAAAATCACACCACCCTGTGGCGCAAGAAGTCAATGATCACAGCATGTTTATTATAATACGAGCTGTTGCCGCAAACTCGTCCGCGTAGTATTAGAAAATATACAAACTATATAAATTGCAAATAGCTACGTATCCCTCCGGAACCGGACATTTCTCGGGGATGAAACTTATCCCAGGTGTACTCCAGTCTTTGTTTTATATCTGTGCCAAATTTCAATAAGATATGTTGAACCGTTGCAGAATGATCGAGTAAACATTAAAAAACTAAATTAATGAATCCTACAGGAACCGTAACTATTCCTGGGATAAAAAGTAGCCTATGTGTTCTTCCCGACTATGCTCTAAATCTGTGCCAAATTTCATGGAGATCCGTTCAGCCGTTTAGGCTACAAACGCTAACAAACATCCATCCATCTATCCATCCATTCATCTAAACTTTCGCATTTATAATATTAGTATTAGTAAGATTGTTTAAATAACATAATTGTGTATTGTACAGGGTTTACTAAGTGATGTGGAATCAGTTAAGGAGCTGATCAAGGTGACTGTGCAATGCAAGAGTTGCAGTAAACGAGTTGTTATAGATAAGAAGCAGACAGGCGTGCAGTACTGTGAGTACGTATGTCACTTATATAATACACTATGCTAGTCGCACATTGGTCAGCATAGCTCACAACTCACATTTGTCATAACATCGTCATACACTGTCGCTTCGCCGCATCGACACTGTCTTAAACATGTTAAGATACAATAGAACCTCGATAAGTTAAACTCCAAGGGAAACACAAAATATTTTAAGTTATAGAGGTTTTAAGTCATCAAGGGTCTATGTTGTAGAGGTTTTGGGCTCTGGTAGGAAGGGAACATATAATTTTTTGAAGTTATAGAGGTTTTTAAGTTACCAAGGTTTGAGTTATCAAGGTTCTATTGTATTTTGGTTAATAATATGTAATTTTATATTGAATACATATTGCATTGGTGGATAGGGCATGATCCTAAAGCATAGGTGAGTTGTTTATTCCGACTTTCACTATTTTTCGCTGCCTCGGATGATTGTGCATTCGCCCGCGACTCCATCCGAGTGAAATTAAACAAAAACAAAAGTGAGTAGCCTATGTGTTCTTCCAGACTACTGTCTACATCTGTACCAAATTACATTAATATCCGTTTAGTCGTTTAGTCTACATACTCCCATCAAACAAATAACAAACTTCCATCTATCCATCCATCTAAACTTTCGCATTTATAATATTACTTTATTATAGCTTTCGCTCGAGACTCTGTCCTCGTGGAACTGAAAAAAACGAAAGTGAATAGCCTATGTGTTCTTCATCTTCAACATCCATCCATTCATCCATCTTCCTTTTAAACTTTCGCATTTATATTATTAAGTAAAATTTAATTCAGTATTAGCTTGTTAAAACATCAACTTGTATCATATTTTAACAGAAGTTAAAATATGTTTGTGCTATTTCCAGCTGTGAAGATGGCCACCCAGCGGAGGATTCATCAGACGGCTGGGTACCATTTATGGAGGCGGAGGATGTTATTATCTGGCGCAAGGAGTACAAAACTGGACAGGGTCTATATGCTTATAAAGGTAATTTTTTATATGTTGGATGGTGTTATGCAAGAAATTTTCTCAATCCGTACTACTATATGTAATGTTGTTATGTCCTTATTTTTGAATTTATATAATTAGATTATTGAAAAATATCTTTATAATCTATGCTTAATATTATAAAGAGGATAAATTTGTACATTTGTATGTAATTACTAAACTAACTTCTTGACTGATTTTAAAAATTCTTTCACCATTTACTTACAAGCTGTTGCTCGCGACTTCGTTTGCGTGGAATCAAAGTATAGTAAAAAATGTAGGCTATGTTATTCAGCGATAATGTAGCTTCTAATGGTGTAAGATTTTTTGAAATTTGCCCAGTAGTTTTTGAATTACTCATCTTACTAATATTATAAATGTGAAAATTTAGAGGGATGGATGTTTGTTAGAGTTTGTAGCCTAAACGGCTGACCGGATTTCGATGTAATTTGGCACAGATGTAGAAGATAGCCTGGAAGAACACATAGGCTATTCACTTTTGTTTTTTTCAATTCCACGCGGACGGAGTCGCTGGCGAAAGATAGTTTATACATAAATTGAATACATACAAAAATACAAATCTTTCCTAGTGCATAGATTTATTTAATTCTTCACAGACAAAAACGCGAGCAAACCTAGTTGTCAACAATGACGGCTACTTCCTTATTGCTATTAGAATACGTAATAAGATACTATACGAGTAAAGTTTCCATAGTATGACCTTGGTTTAACTTTTATCATAGCGATTGACCTTGTCTTTGCTCTTCTGAATTATGTCATAGTGATTGATGTTTGTATATATACTTATACTGACAAGGTCGTCTAGATCCAGACTATACATAGTCTAAATTTAGACAACAAATGACAGGATATGCATTTAAAAGTATTCAATTTTGTAATTATTAAATTCATTTATTTATATTTATGTTTTTAATATACATTATACCATTTGTACATTTTTAACTATGTATTCCGAATGCAATGCTTGTCTAATATTCAATTTTCAATTTATTTCTATCCTCTGCTTCTCCAGCTATGGCAACTGTCCCCTTCTTGTCAGTGCTCAGGGTACTTTCACTGTGTTCTATTAGATATTTCACTGCTTTTACCCTTCTTTTGTCTTTCACTTGCTTCATTATCTTCTACGAGTCTTTATAGTCCTTTCACAGTCTTCTACTTGTTTGTTCACAGTCCTCTATCTTCTACTCGTCTTTTCACTGTATGCTTACCTTACTTTACCATTGGTAGTGCCCGCTTTAACATCTTAGCACTGCAGGGCCGGCACGCCCCCAGTAATACCACGACCACACAGTAGACAGGCGTGAAATGGAAGCAATTCCGTGTTTCGTCTGATGAGTGTGATGCCGGAGGCCTAATTTAAGTCCCTTTCTCTTTACCGCCCTTTTCTTATAAGGAGAGGATGGGAAGGGGAAGAGGATTTGACGGAGAGGGAGATACATAGGAAAGGGAGATATTCTCTTTATGTGCGTCTCCTCTGTTGGATAAGGGTAGGCAACGTATCTGCAATTGCGGATGTTTATGGGCAGCGGTCGCTTCGCCATTTTGGCGGATTCAAGTAGCCGCTTGCTCGTTTGCCACCTTATGTTATAAAAAAAAAATGCTACCCGTTTGTTCACTGTCTTCTACCTATCTGACAATCTTCAACTCGTATTTTCAATGTCTTCTACTGTTCACTGTATTCTACTGTTTTTTTTACTGTTTACCCACTTGTTCATTGTCCTCTATCCGTCTTCTACTCGTCTTTTCACTGTATTCTACCCGTTTGTTCACTGTCTTCTAGCTATCTGACAATCTTCAACTCGTATTTTCAATGTCTTCTACTGGTTTTTTCACTGTCTTTTACTAGTCTTTTGGGTGTTGTACAGTATACGGGCGTTATCCCGAGGTGAGTGCGCGCGACTTCGCTGCGGTGCAACTGGACGGTGCGTACCGACGTGCGTGGGACGCCGCGGTGGCCGCACTGGCGGTAGTACAGCGACACGCGCTTGGTGTCCCGGGACAGGCTGTACTGCATTGGGAGGTGTTGTGGCCGGTGAGTGACGTTTCAGAGTTTTTATTTATTTAAAAACAACGTACATATATAAAAACATATTACATCTAGTGTTATGTATTAGTATAGCCAATGACAGGTTTTGATACAACCTCATACATGTTCTCACAGACATTTAAATAATATATAGACGCGGCATACTGAATTTTGTCAAGTAAAGTGCCACCTTGTATCCTTAGAAAGTACCGGTGAAAAATTTTTGCTTGCTGTGCTTCTGTATTTTTTTTTTAAATGTCTAGTTCAAGACGATGTTTTTACGTTGTAGGTAAACGTAAAAATATGTATAAAATCAGTGCAATGGTAGTCCATTGGATATATCCCAGTCACCTTTAACTTGTGTAGGCACCCCTAAGTGAGGAAATTACTATTATAGCCGGTTTCCCAGTCATATTTAACCATTAATGAATTCTGTTTCTGAACTACATAACGATATTTTCCATTGAAACATCAACCTAATACTAATCTTTTGTAAAATGTCTTTCTAAGAATCTCCCCCCCCCCCAAAAAAAGAAAAAAAAACAGCTTCAGCATCCGTAATATTAATTTTCAGAGATTATTCGCAAACAGAGATTACGTGTATATTCGACGGCATAAGGAATTTGATTCGTTCGTGGAGACACAAGTGGAAAAGAGACAACTAATGGGTGAGAGGGAGAGAGTTGATAATAAAGTTTACGTGATCGTTTCTAAATCCTGCGAACATCCCGATGTCCCGGAAACGAGACACGCTATCAGAGTAATGGAGTACTGGAGCCATATGGTGGTCAAAACTATAGAAGGTGTGGAAAAGGTAATTCTTTGTTATACTTTTAAATCATGCTTCATACTTCATCTATACATATAATAAAATGGGAGTGTCTGTAATATAAAAAAAAAACAGATTTCGGGAAGATGATGTATTTGCGTTGCTGATAACGTGAATCGCATTTAAAAAAATTTTGTCTGTCTGTCTGCAAGCCGTGTTTGTTTTGGGTAATACCAGAAACGGCTGGGCCGATTTCGAACGAACTTTTACTGAAAGGTAGCCGACATAGATGGGCATATTATAGGCCACTTTTTTATCTTAGTGTTACGTGGACGAAGTTAGTTAAGAACATGTCTGAAAGAACACAATGGCTAGTTTCTTTTCATTTTTAAAAACCACGCGGACGGAGGAGAGATAGTTATTTTATAAATGCATGAAAATAAGGACCACATATCTGTTATGGGGAAGGCATATATAGAATACTAGCTTTAGCTTGCGACTCCGTTCGCAGGGAATTAAATAAATAAAAATGAATATACTATGTGATCTTTCAGAGTGTTCTTTTCATCTTTTCCGAATCCCGAGATATTCAGCCGATTTGGCTACAAACTCCAACAAACATCCATCCATCTAAACTTTCGCATTCATAATATTAGTATATATAGCTAGAGTTTGTATCCTGAATGGCTGAATGGATTTCGATGTGGCACAGATGTAAAGGATAGTGTGGAAGAACACTTAGCTACTTTTGTTTTTTAATACCACGCGAACGGAGTCACAGGCAAAAGCTAGTATGTAAGTGAAAGGATAGAGCAGGGTAGAAGGCATGTAGCAGGGTATATCCTCAGAACGGTATGGAGTTCGTGCTGACGTACTACGACGAGCCGGCGCGCGGCGGCATGCCGGCGGGCGTGGCGGCGTGGGCCACGGGGCGCGCGGCGCCCGGCTACCTCGCGCGCATGCGCAGCGCCGCGCTGCACTACCGCGCCTGGGCCGCCGCCACGCCGCACCAGCGACAGGTCAGATTACCTCCCCATTATGCTTTTTACAGTGCTAGAGCCCGCTTTCACTTCGCACTGCAGGGCCAGCTCGCCCCCAACAATACCACCACCACACAGACATTCCGCGTACAGTCTGATTACTTGCTGGAGGCCTAATTTTAGTCCCTTTCTATTTCCACCCTTTTCTTAAGAGGAATGGATGGGAAGGTAAATTGAATTTGACAGTGGAGGAAACTAAGAAGGGAAAATATCTTCTTTATGTGCGTATCCGTCAATGAAGGGTAGGCAACGCTGCAATTGTGGCAGTCTTTGTGCAGCGGTCGCTTTCCATTTCGGTGGATTCATGCCGCTTGTTCGTTTGCCAACTTGTTAGAAAAAACCTACAAAAATATGAATCTTTCCTCTTTATAATATTTATTTCTAGCTGTTGCTCGCGACTTCGTTCGCGTGAATTAAAAAAAAAAAGTAAAAATACTGCCTATGTTACTCAGTGATAATTTCGCTTTTTGATATGGTCCCAGTAGTTTTTGAGTTATTCCAATATATACAAAAATCCAAATCTTTCCTCCTACTACTGTTCCCGTAAGGCTTCATACGCATGAAATTACAAAAACTTTTTTTTTCACATCTCTTAAATTCTCAATAGCAAATGTCTTGTAACATGCGATTATAATTTTTTTCTTTATATATTCCAGGAGATGCCAGACTTCACCCCTTTCGACCCTGAGCTGGTGGATGAACAGCAGAAGAACGCGAGCTCGCAGATCAGCGAACAGGATATGGAGGTGAATTTAAATTTTGTCATTAAAGCAGATATCTAAAAAAATATAAATGTTTCTCATAACGTAGCTTTTAAATGGTGAAAGAATTTTTTAAATCGGTCCAGTAGTTTTTGAGTTATTTCAATACATACAAAAACCCAAAAATCCAAGTCTTTCCTCTTATCTTATTATAGACTAGCTTTCGCCAACGACTCCGTCTGCATGGAATTAATTAAAAACAAAAGCAAGTACCCTATGTGTTCTTCCAGAATATCATCTACATCTATACCAAATTTCATCCAAATCCGTTCAGCAATTAGGCTACAAATTCTAACATACATACATCCATCCATCTAAACTTTCGCATTTATATTAGTATGATATATTATTAAATTGACTAGTTCTCTAATCTACAGTGGTAGTGCCCGCTTTAACATGTTAGCAGTGCAGGGCCGGCACGCCCCCAATACCACGACCATACAGAAGACAGGCGTCAAATGGAAGCAATTCCGTGTTTCGTCTGATGAGTGTAGTGCCGGAGGCCTAATTTAAGTCCCTTTCCCTTTACCACCCTTTTCTTATAAGGAGAGGATGGGAAGGGGAAGTGGATTTGACGGTGGAGGAGATGCATAGGAAGGGGAAATATCCTCTTTATATGCGTCTCCTCCTCCGTCGTATAAGGGTAGGCAACGCATCTGCAATTGCGGATGTCTATGGGCAGCGGTCGCTTCGCCATTTTGGCGGATTCAGGTGGCCGCTTGCTCGTTTGCCACCTTATGTTATAAAAAAAAATCTAAAAATCGTTTATAGGAATCAAACAGACTTAAAAATAGATAGAGGAGGTATAGTTAATACATATTCATAGTTTCCGCTACTCTCTAATAGATGGCGTGGTGACAAACATTCTAGAAACCGATCGAATTTTCGAATATTTGTATAGATCTCTTTTCTACACGATAAATGTTTTTTTAAGAAGTTAATTCCTTTTTAATAGCAACAATATGTTGACATTTCTCGTGACTAAAAGTCTAAAATCTTGAAAATCATTAAATACATATATAAAGAAATAAAACAAAAGTTGGGTTTTTTAAACATATTTTAGTTAACTTAAAAAAAATTAATACCATAAATTAATAAAATAATTCAATATATTTACAGTCGTCCAAAGAAGGTCCAGAAATGGAAAATAACGAGAACACGAGAGACCAAAGCACGCAAACGGAAGAAATAAATAACGGATATGAAATTAAAGAAATAGTAAAAGAAAAATGTATAGATGTTACTAGTAAAGAAAAAAACAAAGAAGATACAGAGAAAAGTAACGACGCGAAAGAAACGCTTGGGAAAAAAGATACGACAAAGGTAAAAATATTAAAAATCTTTTTAGTAAATAATAATAAATGCCTATTACAAAGATTAATCTATACTGTTATAATGCGTAAACACACACTTCTTTGTTGCCTAAGATGTCAGCAATTACACCATATTTTTGAATAATTCCTTTTTTAAAAAAAAGCCCTACACTTACGTCACGCTTTATGATATATATTTTCACGCCATTAAAGTTAGACGGTAATTATTTTGGAAAAATCCCTAATGTGGGAAAGAGACCATAAGTTGCTGCCAACATCAAGGAAACAAGATTGCCAAGTTTTGTCATGTCATGTCATTTTGACATTTGTAATTATCAATTTGACACATGTAAACAATAAATTAATTTTATGCTGATGAAAAAGGGGAACAGCTATCATAAAGGTGATTTTTCTTCTCTCCTTTCCCCTTTTTAGTGCAAAGGGACGGAAAGGGTTAAGGACAAAAACCTCTTGTACGTTCCCTCCCCTTTTGATATAGGTAATAGAGATGAAAATGTTTCTAAGTAGTGGTTTCGCTATTTTAGCGAATTTTATTTGCCAATTGCTCGTTTGTCAACTCTGTAAATAATTTAAAAAAAGATTTCTCTTAGTTTTTTTTATTTATGAATAGTAAATTAATTTTAAGCATTTTTTTATTAGAAAACTGTCGTATCAGCGAACGAAGGAATATGAAAAGAAGTAAATGTAGTTTTTTCTTTAATATTATTTTTAATTTTGATTGAGTTTTTAAAAGTATATCTCTTAAAATAATACTTGATTTATTGTACTAGGTATTTGAATATAAAATTTTGTATTTTTTAATAAGTACTGCTTTAAAAGTTTGAAAGTAAAATTGAGTACTTCCTTGAGTATTTACATTTTTATCGAGTATAGCTGTAGCTCACGACTTTGTCCGCGTGTAATTAAATAAAACATATAGCCTATGTTACTCGCCGATAATGTAGCTTTGTGACGGTGAAAGTATTTTTGAAATTGTCCCAGTAGTTTTTGAGTTATTTTAATTATACAAAAAACAATTCTTTCCTCTTTATAATATTAGTATTGAGTATAGCTTTTGTTTGTGACCACGTTCGCGTAAAATTTAATAATTATAAAAAACATAGCCTATGTTACTCACTGATAACGTAGCTTTTAATGGTATAAATATTTTTGAAATTGACCCAGTAGTTTTTGAGTTATTAGAGAATATGAAAGTAATGTTTAGTATTATTTTTTTCAGGAGACAATAGAGATTGAAGAAGAAAATGGCAGTTGGTGGAGATATCTCTATCCTTTTTATTATTTCGTATAGAAAATAATATTTGTTATAGAATTGTTATAAATTTATAGACCGACTAAGTTATTTGACCCGATGGTGAGTTCAATTAAATTATAGCTTACTGAGAAAATATTTATTTTAATATGAGATAATCGTACTGTGAATTTTTCATACATTTTATGTGATTCTCTTTTATTAAGTAACTAACTTATCAGGCTTAAGTCGCTGTTCTTCTAAAAAATGCGATAAATCTACATAGATATAGAAAACTAGCTGTTGCTCGCGACTTTGTCTACAAGAAATTTAAAACTTTAGCATATGTTACTCAGCGATAACGTAGCTTTTTAATTGTGAAACAATTTTTGATTTTGCCCCAGTAGTTTTTGAGTTTCAATACATACATAAATACAAATCCTGTCCTCTATTGTATAGATTACATAAAACCATGATTTACAAGGATTCTGACTGATATTGTCAGCTAGTTAGATTTAGTTTTATGCCCACCGGGTCAAATAAATTAGTCGCACTATATTTTTTAATATAAGTGACAGTTTTGTTAAGTGAAAGAGTTTTTAGTACAATGTGTTCATTATGTAGATGTCGAAATTAATATGGGTTTTAAATGAAAGTTTGAGATGAAGTTAGTATGAAGTTTTATGAGATTTTAGATATTATTAAGGCTTTTAGCCGACTTATGTCGGGTAAGTTCGCGTGGGATATGGAAAAAATATTGAGAATATGCGTTTAGGGCCCGTTCACACAGAATTAAGCGTAACAGCAGATATATATAATTAAGAAAATTGAATCTATCTGTAATATTGAGAAAAAAATGTATTTCATGAAAATGGTGTATTTGCGTTGTTTATTTTATAGTGATAAAAAAAATCTTTCTTTGCATCGTGTTTAAAAGCGCCAATTAATTATATCTTATTTCAATTGTATAATGCTTAATTTTATTTAAGACTAGCTGTTGCCCTCGACTTTGTTCACACAATATTAAAATAAAAACAGCTATGTCAGCTACCCTTCAGCGAAAGTCAGGTCGAAATCGGCCCAGCTGTTTCGGAGATCGAAACAAACGCGGCTTGCGGACAGACAGACAGACAGACAAAAAAAATTTTATAATGCGATTTTCGTTATCAGCAACGCAAATACACCATCTTCCCGAAATCTGGATTTTTTAAATAATACAAATAGACAATCCAATTTTATTATATGTATAGATAGATAAAAAATCATCTCTCACTACGTCTGTGTGAACGGACCCTTAATTGTATAATAAATGAAATTCAGCGATATACCGTCATTTTATAAACTGACGCAATCAACCTGTCAATAAAATGAATTGGAACAATATTATTGCTACAAGCATTTATGTCCATTTTAGTAGATTCATTAACCAGGAAATCAGTTAATTCCTAAAATTAGGCGTTTTAGTGGCTATAGTAGTCTAGTCGATACTAAATTTTGTTAATTTTAGAAAAAACTATTACTAATAGAAATGGAAATTTTATACACATGTCTATTTTTTAATAAGTCTGTATGCAGACTTATAAATTGTTTAGAGTAGGTGTGATTTCTTATTTCCATTAAAAACTGCTGTTTTTTTCTAAAATTAATAACAAAGGATGCGGATTTGTATCCGGATTAAGGTTTCTTTAATTTGAAACGTCAATTCGTTGTTTCAGTTCTTTTTTCTGACTACCCCCAATGTACAATAAAAATGTAAATAAATGTTATATGCGATATTGTGATTGTTATTAAATCGTTTTTTTGAGGTTATAAGTCTTTTACTTAAAATTTTTTGACTCGTCCGCATAAAATTTTAAAAATGCGAAATAATGTTTGGATGTTTGTTAGTTTGTAGCCTAACCTCTGAACGAAAAGTGGAAGAACACAGTAGAAAGTTAGAGAAGAACAGCAAAGAAGTCGAGAGTTTGAGGGAAACCGTTAGACAAGCCAGTAAAATAAAAAAAAAGAACGGATTTTGATTAATTCTATACTAATATTATAAAGAGGAAAGATTTGTATTTTTGTATGTATTGAAATAACTCAAAAACTACTGGGCCGATTTTAAAAATTCTTTCACCGTTAGAAAGGTAATTTATCTGTCAGTAACATAGGCTCTACTTTTTAATTTCACGCGGGCAAAGTCGCATGCAGCAGCTAGTTTCTTATATTATTATTTACGCGGATGGAGTCGCGGGCGAAAAGTATATTATTGTTTATCATACGTAAAACCAAGTACAGTAGAACCTCGATAAGTTAAAGTCCAAGGGAAACACAGAATATTTTAAGTTATAGAGGTTTTAAGTTATCAAGGGTCTATGTTGTAGAGGTTTTGGGCTCTGATGGGAAGGGAACATATTTTTTGAAGTTATAGAGGTTTTTAAATTACCGAGGTTTGAGTTATCAAGGTTCTACTGTTTTTAGTATAGCCTATCAGCACCCTAGATAAAGTGACTTTCGATTAGTGACATCGCTTGTTAATCGACAAGATGTATCAAAATATATAGAAATGAATACGGGATAAGCACTTGACTTATCGAATGTTGTCAGTTCCATACATATTTGAATAAGAGGGCTCCATATACTTTGTCTAAGAGAGCTGATTGTAAGTGCCATCTTTCGCTATAAATAGTGAAGTTATTTCGTAAATATTTTAATGTACTTACTAATATTATAAATGCAAAAGTTTAGATTTGTTTGTAGTGTAAACTGCTGTACGGATCTCGATAGTCATAGTCATTTTTTTTATACTATAAGTTGGCAAGCTCGCAAGCGGCCAACTGAATCCACCGAAATGGAAAGCGACCGCTACTCATAGACATCCGCAATTGCAGATGCGTTGCCTACCATTAATCAACGGAGGAGGAGACGCACATAAAGAGGACATTTCCCCTTCCTTTGCGTCTCCTCCAACGTCAAAATCCACTTTTCCTTCCCATCTTTTCCTCTTAAGTAAAGGGTGGAAAGAGAAAGGGACTAAAATTAGGCCTCCGGCACTACACTCATCAGACGAAACGCGGAATTGCTTCCACTTAACTTCTGTGTCTGTGCCTGTCTTCTGTGTGGTCGTGGTATTGTTGGAGGCGAGCCGCCTGCAATGCGAAGATGTTAAAGCGGGTTCTACCAATGTTACAAATACAGCCTTACAAATAAAAGCGGTATAAATTTAAACTTAGCACAAATTTTAAGTAAAAGTAGTAGCTGTTCCCATGCGGCTTCATCCGCATGAAAGTATGAAAATTTTGATTTTGTTCTTCACATTTGTTAAATTATCAATTGCAAATGTTAAAATGACAAGACATTACAAACTTATGGTCTCTTTTCCACATTAGGGTTTTTATCCAAAACATTTACCCCCTAAGTTTAATGGCGTGAAAATATATAGCCTAAAGCGTGACGTAAGTTTAGGGCGTTTCATTAAAGAAAGAATTATTCATAAATATGGTGTAATTGCCGACATCTTAGGCAACAAAGAAGTGTGTGTTTACGCTTTATTATAATAGTATAGATAATAGCAAAATTTGTACTAATATTTGCTTATAATCAGTTTATTTTATACCACGTTTATTTGTAAGGCTGATAAGATATATATTTTTTTAATCCACAATCGTAGAAAACTTGTATTAAAAATTGTCGGAACGTGTATAGGGTGTAGTAGAAGAAGTGGTAGTGCCCGCTTTAACATCTTAGCACTGTAGGGCCGGCACGACCGGTGTAATACCACGACCACACAGAAGACAGGCGTAAAATGGAAGCAATTCCGTGTTTCGTCTGATGAGTGTGGTGCCGGAGGCCTAATTTAAGTCCCTTTCTCCTTGCCACCCTTTCTTATGAGCAGATGGGAAGAGGAAGTGGATTTGACGGTGGAGGAGATGCATAGGAAGGGGAAATATCCTCTTTATGTGCGTCTCCTCCTCCGTCGTATAAGGGTAGGCAACGCATCTGCAATTGCGGATGTCTATGGGCAGCAGTCGCTTCGCCATTTTGGCGGTTTCAGATGGCCGCCTGCTCGTTTATCCTTATGTTATATAAAAAAAAACATACAAAGTTTTTTTTATATATTTAATTGATAAAGAATTCATTCGATCGCTGGTTTTGGTTATGTCGCCACTTGCAGGCCCAGTTCCAGCAGGACATGCCGGCCCACGGCTCGTCCGTGTAGAACACCTGCCCGTTCTGGTACATCTGGAATATGAACAAATTATTACAAACATAAACAATATGAGTATGAAAACTACCATTATTCCGATAGTCGTTTCGGTGCACGGGCTAATAGTGAAGAGCTAAAAAATGTAAATAGGAAGTACTTATATTGTCTTAACTGATAACATAGCTTTTTATCGGTGCAAGAATTTTTTAATTCAGAGTATAGAAGTTTATTTGATATAAGAAAAAAGAGGAAATACATCTATACTATATACTGCATGGAATAAAAGGCTTTTTTTATTTATTATTTATTTTATTCTATAATAATGATTATCATCATCTCCCCTGCCTTATCCTAGTCCCGTAGTGGCGCACCGGGTTTTCGTCCCCCAAAGCACTCTATCATCCGTCATCTCAGTCATCACTCCCTTCATCATGTCACCTTTCACGCAATCCATCCATCTCTTTCTAGGTCTACCTCTACCGGTGTACCTCCACATTCATAACTAACGTCCTTCTTGTTACATGCGATTCATCCCTTCTCATAACATGCCCATACCACTCTAACCTTTTACTCCTTATTTTCTCAACCACTGGGGCTACTCTCAAACTTCCTCTAATATACTCATTTCGTATCTTATCCAATCGGAAATCAAATCTATACTAATGATATAAAGAGCAAATATTTGTATTTTTGTGTTTAAATATCTCAAAATCTACAGATTCTATTTCAAAAATTCTTTTGCCATTAAAAAGCTACGTTATCAGTGAGCAACATAGGCTATATATTTTTATAATATAAATTGGCAAACTCGCAAGCGGCCACATGAATCCACCGAAATGGAAAGCGACCGTTGCCCGTAAACATCCGCAATTGCAGATGCGTTGCCTACCCTTAACTGACGGAGGAGACGCATATAAAGAGGACATTTCATTTCCCCTTCCTATACGTCTCCTCCACCGTCAAATCCACTTTTCCTTCCCATCCTTTCCTCTTAAGAAAAGGGTGGAAAGGAAAAGGGGCTAAAATTAGGCCTCCGGCACCACACTCATCAGACGAAACGCGGAATTGCTTCCACTTCACGCTTGTTTTCTGTGTGGTCGTGGTACTACACCGAGCGAGCCGGCCCATTCGTGCGAAGATGTTAAAGCGGGCTCTACCACTGTTGAATTAATATTAATATTTTTTAATTTCACGCGGGCGAAGTCGCGAGCAATCACTAGTAGGATATAATTTGAAAATACTTACAAACGATAGATCCGAACTCTTGTAATTAACCCCGTCATATCCGAAGCGTAGTATAAAATTCATAGAGAAAATAGAGAAAATGCATCTAACATCGGTGGTCGCGGGTAAGAAGTAACGATACGGTCCACACCAGTACGACACTTTAGGCTCGTATTCCACTGACTCCGGAAACTCTTCGCGAGGGTTTATTCTAAAGAATGAATACAGAATTAAAAAAAATAGCCTAAATCACCCCTCTATCTAGCTATCTGTACATATAATAAAATTGGAGTATCTGTAATATAAAAAAAAATCCAGATTTCGGGAAAATGATGTATTTGCTTTAATGATAACGAAAAACGCATTTTTGTCTGTCTGTCTGTCTGGAAGCCGTGTTTGTTCGTAATCTGCAAATCGGCTGGACTTATTTCGACCGGACTTTCACTGAACGGTAGCTGACATAGACGGGCATATTATAGGCTACTTTTTATCTTAATATTGCGCAGGCGAAGTCGCAAGCAACAGTTAGTAATATCCATACTTATATATGCACTGTGCGTCACTCCAGTTATCATCGGAGTGGCAGTACAGACCCTGGCTGGGGTCCTTAGCCTGGAACTGTTCCGCGTGCGGACCAACGTAAGTCGTCTCAGAATGACGATGATAGAAACCAGAGAAAGCGAATGCACCTAAAATATATAGTTTCGATATAAAAAGATCCCTATATCTATACTGATGTAATAAAGCGTTAACACAATTCTTTATGGCGTAAGATCTCAGCAATCACAGCATATTTTAAAATAACTCTTTAATAAAAAGCCTTAAACTTACGTCATGCTTTAGACTATATATTTTCACGCTATTAAACTTAGTGGGTAAATAAATTGGAAGAAACCTTCATGTTGGAAAGGAACCAAAACTACAAGCTGCCGAAGAAGTAAGGTTTCCATGGTAACGGTAACTGTTATCCACTGTCAAAGGCCTTCGTTGTCATTTGTGCATTTTTTATTTGCAATTGATAATGACAAATGTAAACAATAAAATAAAGTTTTTTATAATATCATTCGGAAGAAGCTGCAGGGAACAGCTAGTTTCTTATAAGGTAGGATCTGGCAGAGGAGAGAACACAGAAATGTCCACTTTCTGTCTTATTATTAAAAGTCGTAAGATCTTTGTGGTTTTTTTCTATATTTTTCTGATATGAGTAATGACGATAGCATCGACTTATTAGCCCAGATATCTGTTATTGCAAAGAAAATTTACCTCTAAATGTATAGCAATGTGGTTTCCTTTCGCTTGACAATATCATTTGGGCGTCCTCTTGGTTATGAGCTGAAGCTATGTAATACGATGTCCCTAAGCATTTGAACTCTGCAAATAATAAACTTTGCATTATAGTATACTATTTTTTTTAATAAATTGTAGATGGAAGTTTAGATTAAATCAAAACGATATTTTATATGTTGTCCTTCCAACTCGTTGCCGAGAATTCCATACCTTCAAAGGTAGCACCATTTTTTTATAGGCTTTTTTTGTTTTCTCACTTGAAAATCATAAGTCAAAGGTAATATAAACAGGTTAATCTAAACTATCTATACTATTATAATAAAGCATAAACACACAATTCTTTGTTGCCTAAGATGTCAGCTTTTACAGCATATTTTTGAATTATTTTATTTTTAATAAAAAGCCCTACACGTCACGTACTTTTTACGCTTTAGGCTATATATTTTCACGCTATTAAACTTAGGGGATAAATAAATTGTATTAAAACCCTATAGTGAGAAAGAGACCATAAGTTGCTGCCAACATTAAGGAACTAAGATTGCCATGGTTTGTCATGTCATTTTGACATTTGCAATTGATAATTTGACAAATGTTAACAATAAAAGATGTTTTCAGCTTGTTTTATTGTCCTTTCAACTCGTTGCCGAGAAATCCATACCTTCAAAGGAAGCATTTTGTAATAGGCTTTTTCTTGTTTTCTAACTTGAAGATTATCATTCAAAGGTAATTAAAACAGGCTAATATTAAAATAAAATCGATTGTAGCCCGATGCGATTTATAACTCCGGTATAAAGTTTGAAACTTCAGGTATATAAATTTAAAACTGTATTTTTAAAACAAATGGTACGTAAATTTATGTATGTTAACTGATTTGTTGCCGTCTAACGACCGTTTGTTCAATCTTTAGAGCAGGACCCTCACGATACAGGCTGCGCCTAGTACGAGGGTCCTGATCACAACATATAAAAAATTCTACTCTATCCATGAACTACATTTTTCTACCTCCATGTATTCATGATTGTTGGATTTTAAATAAATCATTTTTTCTATTTCATTTTTTTTCATAAGGGTTGTCTTGCGAGTTATGGGAAATTATGCTATTTTAGCGAAAACTGACTTGTTTACTTACCAGGACTGGCGTATAACCCGAAAGGTATTTTAGCCTGTGTTGATTTTATTTTCGCTTCGGAAGTGTCCATTTTCTTATTGAGTTTGAGTAGTACCATAGACATTAGTGCCATATCGGTTTCGAAGAGCAGTCGTTTTAAATCTTTTATGTGCGTGTCTATGAAAGTGAATAGTCTCTTTTGTGCCGTCTCCAGAATCTCACGTCGCTCTATCTGTCAGCATAAGAAAAACTAAGCACAATTTTACTATGAAAGTTTTTTTCTTATTGCATATTAGCTATTGTATAAAAAAGTAGCCTATAATATGTCAGTTTATGTCAGCTACCCTTGAGTGAAAGTCCGGTCGATATCGGCCCAGCCGTTTCGGAGATTACCCGAAACAAACGTGGCTTACAGACTGACAGACAAAACAATTTTAAATGCGATTTTCGCTATCAGCAATTTTTTTGATATTACAAACAGACAGTCTAATTTTGTAATAATTTAAAGATTTCCCTTATTATGTCGTGGTCAACTATTTAGAAAGTTTAATGTAAATGAAATGTTAATAAGGATTGTCTTTAAAACTCCTTATTATGAGGACAAAATGTTCGATTTTTTAATAGAAAATGGTTTTAAGTGTCATAGAGTATGTAGGGGAAAGAGTTGTCTTAGTTACATTCATAGAGTAAAATGGCGCAGAGGTGCTTTTCACATTTTATCTTGATTTTGTACTTTACAGTCATGTTTAGGTCAGCAAAAAGTGTTGCAATGCTTCTTACCGGGTTGTGCGGCTCCTTGATGCGGCTGTTCATATAGCTATAATACTCCTGCAGCCTCTCGAACTTTTCATCAGCATAGCTGTGCCGCGGGTCAATCTCTTTCACACTCGGCAAATTGTATGGTTTCTGTTGATCATATGTTATAAAGAGATATTAAATATTTATTTATTTCTTTAACGCCACTGAGCACATGTATACAGTGATATTTTATACATTATAACAAGTTCCTCCCCCGTTACAAAATAATCTATACATTGTCACAAAGTGATTTTGACATATGCAATTGACAATTTGAGGAATTTAAACAACTAAATAAAATTTTTACAACATCGTGCGGACGAAGCTGCACTGGAACAGCTAGTTTCTTGCTATTTTAAATACTTTGTTTTGTGTGAACTTACCGTTTCAACTGTCGGGAATGACAGTCGAGCAAGCTGAAAGTAAAGATTTTAACATTAATATTAGAATGAAAGGAACGATCCATTTGTAAATTTGTTCTTGCATAACCGGCTGGTGATGCGTGGCTAATATGCGTTTTCTATAACGTTTTGTCACCTTCTAGATTTTCCATTTAACAGTTAACAGTGGTAAAGCCCGCTTTAACATTATCGCACGAATAGGCTGGACCGCCCCACGCAAGACAGCCGTGAAATGGAAGCAAAACATTTTGTCTGATATATGCGTTTTGGAGGTCATATTTTAGTCCCTTTAACGTACCACCCAAATTTAAACTATAGGATGGGAAGGAAATGTGGATTTCTCGGTGGAGATGACGCACAGGAAGGGAGAATATCCTCTATATGCGTCTTTAATTGCGTATGTCGATAGGCAACGGTCTTTACGCCATTTTGGCAGATTCAGGTAGCAGCTTGTTCATTTGCCACCATATGATATTTTCTATATATCTTTCATAAAATTCAAATTCAAGACGTCTTCAGTTAACGTTATAAGGCAATCGACGGCTTCATCATTGCAATGTTTAATACCGTTTATATTGCTATTAGCGACCTGGGCGTGATTTCTACGGCACCCCCTTACGCCTTGGGAAGGGAGGATTAACACGTGAACCAATTTGCAGAAAAGTCCATCGCCCAGGGCGGTTAACCAACTGCGCCCTAACATCGATGTCGTAATAAAACGTAATTGGCGCTATTGATCTCAGAAATGCAACACCGGCACAATTTACTTAGTAAAACTGCCACCTTGGCCCTTCTTTGTATGTATGCCCGCATACATAGTGAGAAGGGCCACCGCAAACTAGAACAATAGCGCCAATTACGCAAGAGAATTAAACATATTGTCATTTTAAAACATTATACAAATTAAATAAAAGAAGGAAAGTCTCCGATGATTAGAAAGTCAGGAGTGGACGTGTTAAAAAAACACCGATGTCGTCTGTCTATTAAGGAATTGTGGTACAGATAATATAAACCAGTGGACTTACTAGCTGGAATGAGGACACATCACCGTTCCCCGCTAACACTGGCGACAATACCGCCAGTAACTGAAATGTAATACCACACACAAAAAAACAACAGACGAATTGAGTACCTCCTTCTTCTGGAAAGTCGGTCAAAAACAAAATATTTACCATATTTCTATTCTATTTTGGTTTAGTCAAAATGTATGACTTTCAATTGCATTTTTAAGTTTTAATCTTTTTTAAATTAGTCTAAGAAATTGGGACATGCACTGTGATTTTAACGAGGTTTAGGATAAGCGCCATCTGTGCTCGGCCACCTCAAGCCCGGTGAATCTGTAAATGCCTCTGCAAGGCAAACTGTGGCCACTCAGTCACAAAAAAAACTGTGACTTAGTACAAGATTTTAAAAATATAACTTGTGAAAAAGGAAATAAAGAAACACCCGAATCTCAAGTCTGTGACCAAAAAAATGTGTTAGGAGAACAAGAGGGTGCCATTATGACAACCAAAAAAATTCCGCACTCGGCCGGTGTGGTTGACTATGGTCTTAACTTATAGTTTTAATGCGTATGGAAACAGGGCAAAATTATTATTCCTTACCACATATGTTTCATAAAATATATTTTTTAAAACCATAACTGTGACCTTTTCGGCTTGAAAACGTTTTAAAAATATTTAGAAACGACGTAAGCTTATCGTCCAATCATTATTTTTAATTTGATAAAAAAATATTAATTGACTTTATGGTCTTGAGTTGTAAAAACGATAAAACACTGGTTTTTTATAAAAATTCTATGGTACGAAGAATCTAAATTCAATCAAACTGGCATAATTAACTACCATAATAAACATTTTCAGAGTGACAAAGTCCACACAAACCCCAATCAAAAGCAACCAAAAAGGGACAAACCGACGTTTCTCTATCAAATGTCTTTGGCTACAAGACAAAACATGATAATAATTACACATTTTTTTTACAAGAAAGTTGCTGGGACATTCTTGTAAGTAAAACAATTGTGTCAGAATGTTCCCTTCCATAGCATACATTACGTGTTGCTTATGTTTAATAGTTAAACATTTAAAAAATATATATATATTTTAGTGTTTCTTTGTAGCAATTGTGTGCGAGTGTGTATTTGTGTGTACCAGCAAGACGGATGTCCTGCTCATTATGGTATCAACGTTAGACGATGTCTCGAAAGCCTTTTTTTTAATCGTTGGATAGGACGTGGCGGCCCTATTCTGCGGCCTGCGAGGAATGCGAATAAGTCCGGTCAACACCAATTGACTTTTATGTCTGGTGTCACATGAAAAATCTTGTTAACGAATCGCCTGTCATCAGTAACACTTAAAACAAGAATTATTAACGCAGCAATTGCGATGCGGATTTGACTACTTCGGTAGTTAACTCGGGAAAAGAATGCGACTTTGCGCACAAAATATGGGAAGTAATTTCGAGCTAGTATTTTAAACGCTATGCTACATCAGTGATTCTCCATTTTGCCGCGGCACTTTTGTGTGCAAGACGGCAAAAATGGGGGCTGATTTCTTTCGCAAGGGTTTACCAGGACCTCGATCTAGCCAATTTAACCTCATCAATCCGATGTAGACATTAAAAGTAGGCACAGAGCTGTGAGGAGATTGCTGAATCTAACCTTTTTAAATTTATACACAACTCTGATTTACTTATTTTTAATTGTCACTTCTAATTCGATGTGTATAGAATAAAATGTCTATAATTTTACTTAAATTATCGTTTAATTATAATCCACAACACAGGTGTGTCGGCTCTTTTATTTTGGAGATGAATTTGACCTATCTCTAAATGAGGACAAGTCATATTCGCTGCAAGAGCGGATTCAGGGGTCATGACCCCCCCCCCCCTGAGCTGATTGCTCAAGCGCGTGACAAAATATATTTACATAGTCATAGTCAAGCTCTTGACTTGATCACGCCTATATGACCCCCCCCCTGGCACCAAAGCTGGATCCGCCCTTGATTCGCTGCATATACCAAACTGCTCAAGCGTCAAGCATGAATAATTGTTTAGGCTCCGACCATGGACTGCTTGGGTATGGAAACACTTTGAAGTTTCAAAACGTATTTAATGTGGTAATAACTTAAAACGACTTAACAATGTATATCAACGAGTTGGATGCGTGTGGTCAGGGCGACGGATGTTGACGAATGTTGCTCCCCGCATTGCGTATCGCCGCCTTATTCTCTGCAGCGCGTCTCTCCGCCCTCGTAAGCGTCCTCTAGCGGCGTCTGCCGGGACGACTATGGCAGCGACGGAATCTTAGCAGACGCCGATGCACCGCGAGGCCGTCCATTGGCCTCCTATGTCTCTGCTAGTCTGCTATGAGGCGATTTGAGGCCTTAAAATACAGGCCCCCTTGGAAGCGCTAGTTTTCGAAACTTTCGTCGGTTGCCCGGTGTGAATCTCGGCGACTCTCTCTAGCCTCTTGTTTTATTATTTTCATCTTAAATGTAGGCTTATTTTTAACAAAACTAACAGTGCAACCATATATAAGTTTTGCTACTGATAGCAGATTCGTCGAAAATTTCGGCACGTATAGTGTGTCACGTAAATTATTTATTTGGTCGTGAAGTTTACTTTACTTTGCCTTTGCCTTTGACTTTGGTTGTATGACAGTCAGATGCTAGTTTGAGTATACCTGACTCTGGTTGTATCTCTTCAAACTGCACACATATCCAAACATTATATGTTCGCCGATGTTACTGACATGGTCTTATATGTGGGCGTTACGCTGTTATTCTTTTCTACTCTATTAGATTTCTTTACTTTGTCTTACTTATCGCTCCAACAAGTTTCCGTCGTATGACACTTCTTTTTGCACCTTTGGCAATATTTATTTATCTTTTTCTTTGTGTAGGAAGCTCCGTCGTTCTCAACATTGTCGATGTTAGCATTCTTTCGAGCTTCTTTCCTCAACAAAATCATCATCATCCACTTGCCCTTATCCCTTACGGAGGGCACAGTATGTATTGCTCTTCCATACATCTCTATCAGTCGTCATCTCTGAATCCACTCCTTTCTTAAGCATATCCTCTTTCACACAATCCATCCATACTTTCTTCGGTCTTCCTCTACCGTTGTAGCCATCTACATTCAGTCTTAACTCTTTCTGGTTTATGTCCCCATCGTTTCGTCGCATAACATGTCCATAACAAAATTTCCTCAACAAAATCAACATTTCTAAATTCATTTCAATATCATTTAGATATTCGTATTTGAACAAAGATAAATTCTAGACAAATTCTAGCGTTCCTAGGTATAAACACTTTTTGTTAAACAAAAACTTTCTTCTTCGAGTACAACAGAACTTCCTTCCTTTGAAGATTTTTATTTTTTTATAAGAAAAGTGGGCAAACGAGCAGCGTGAACACCAATGCGGTCAACGACGCCCATGGACATCCTCAACACCAGAGGAACTACAGATTTTTTTCATTGATAGTTATTTTATTTGTAAATTACAATTTTTATTTTCTTTAAAATTATAAGTCAAATTCAAATTATTCAAACAGAAAATGTTTTCAAAACGATTGTTCTAGTTTATTACCAAAAAGTTTGATTATGGAACTGAAATAAAAACTTGATTTATTTGTAAATTATTGGATAATTCTTTTTTTTTATAACATTTTTCTCTAAAAACTAATCACTAATTTAGGTAGTGGTGCTAGTATATGCCCATGCCTTAGTAGTTGGCCTCTTTCCCTTTTTGTCTTTAACTGTGACGAGACGGCTTTCATGTTAGCACCTAAAACACCCAAGGTCCTCGCCAAAAAAGGAGCCAAAAAGTCTACCAACATGTTAATGCTGACGACAAACAGTGTTTGACTGTACTTGTTACAGGAAACGCTGCCGGAGTATATAATTGTCGTAGGAGCCTTTGCTCCTATATTTCATCGTAACAGAAGTGTGGAAACAGAACAAGCCCTACCTCCTACAGTCAAGTCGTTCAACATCAAGTCTTTTATTTTTCACGCCACCGGCGACAGATGTGCATCCCCCACATATTGGTCCTTCGAGCCGGATTTCTTCGTGTTAAATAGAAGATAGAAGAAGATGTCGATCACCCGCTCCGTCGAACGGAATAACCGCAGCAGGGCCTCACCACAATCGGAGCCCCTGCCTCGAGCGGATCCGTTGCGAGACGCGCCACAATCCTCCGCAGAAGCTACAGAATTTGATACCGAGTGGTCAGATAAAACTCGGATGAGTTCTACGGGGACCGACAGCGCGACGGATGAAGAAGAAAAATCCATTCTGGATAGCGGACATGGAGAAACCGTTGAGAGCGTTGTCTACAGCGGCTGGAGATATACTACAATTAGCCGCAGCAATCACACCTCGCTGCGAGAACGACGCAACCAGCAACTCGCCACCACTTCGAACTACCGATCTACCATTGGTCGCTCAGTGCGGCTTACGAAGAATCTTCAACAGCATTTAAGAAGCAAGAAAAGATGGCAAGATTGCGATATGCGCTAAGAGGACGGGCAAGAGAAGCTGTGGACAACCTACTGATCTTGTGCGCCGAATCAGACGAAATTATAGCGTCATTGAAAACCCGATTGGGCCGCCCTGATGCCATCGCACTTACAGAACTAGAGTACTTACGCGCACTTGTCCGTCCGATTCACCGAGAGAGCTCTGCATCTTTATGAACAAAATCGCTAATAGCATAGCGACAATCGCTGCATTGCACAAAGAACACTACATGTATAATCCTGAGGTTACGAAGGCAATTATAGAAAAATTGACTCCGGTGCTACGGTACCACTGGTATGACTTCGCAGCTGAACAGAAAGAAGGCGAAGCCGACTTGACAAAACTGTCGCGCTTCCTTCTACGCGAAGCCGACCGATGCAGCCCGTATGCCCAACCGGAAGCCATCACAGAGGGATCAAGCGCAACACCGAATAGACGGCCTGCTAAGGCATACGCCGTAACGGAAGCTTCAACGGAATGCAACGTGTGTGCTACACAGGATCACATACCACCGGCATGTCCACAGATAGCCGAAGCCAACGTAAACGATAGATGGGACATAGCGAATGTTTTTTCGCTATGTCCCATCTAGTTTCCGCTGTCTCAGACATCGAACGAGAAAACACGCATGCCGCGTCAAACGATGCGACATTAACGACTGTGGATGATTCCACCATAGACTGCTGCACTTCGAAAAGTCTACAAAACAGCAAGAAGAAAAAAAAGTCGTCACTTCAACTTGGGAGCAAAGCAACACGTGTTCATATCTCAAGATATTTCCTGTCAAAATAATTGGAAGAAAAGGAGAGATAGAAACATTCGCACTCCTCGACGACAGGTCAACGGTTACGTTAATTGACGAAACACTGTCAAGAAAAGCCGGCGTATCGGGACCCGTCGAGCCGCTGCGAGATGAAGGAATTAGCGACCATAAGACAGCAGCTAACCGATCTCAGCGTGTGACTCTCGCATTAAAAGGGACGAACGAAATTCGCCAACAGATGAATGCAAGAACGTTCGCCAACCTGACGATATCATCTCAGCAAATTAGCGACGGGACAATAGTGAACTGCAGCCATCTCAAAGAGATTAGTGAGCAAATTACTTACAGAAATGCTCAACCCAGAATATTTATCGGCCAAAATAATTGTCACCTTCTGATAGCGACGGAGGTCAGAAAGGGACAGCGCCATCAACCGGTCGCGTCCCACACCTCGTTAAAATGGGTCCTGCACGGATCTACAACCCGTAGTTTGGGGAAAAGCATACATCGAGTGCATCATTTGGTTTCCGAAGATATCAACGAACAACTGCGCCGTCACTTCGCAATAGATTCGCTTACAATAGAGCCGAAGCGACCACGAAGCGACCCAGAAGAGCGTGCTCTCTCCCTCCTGAAAGAGCACACCAGACTAAACGATACTGGTCGCTACGAAACTGCGCTGTTATGGAAAGAAAATGATGTCAAACTCAAACAATTACGACAATGCCTACAAACGGTTATTGTCGACAGAAAGAAAAATAGATAAGAACCCGGAGTTACGCGAAAAATATGAAGAGCAAATGAACTCTATAATAGAAAAAGGCTACGCCGAGCTTGCCTCTGAAGAAAAGAACAACAACACCTGGTATCTCCCTCACTTTCCCGTGATTAACATAATGAAGCCGGGAAAGATTCGCGTAGTCCATGACGCCAATACCAAGGAAGGGTCTTGTAATATAAGTTCAATTAGATATATGGCAACATAGTCTATACAAATATGTCATCTATGTCCATTGTGCTACGCTGATCTAAAAATGTGATTTTAATAAATAACAGTTTACCATTAACCTTAGTATTCTTTAATGTGGATATACATTTAAATATTACATGGCGCAGTCGAGATCGAACATAAAATAATGGATATGCTCAAGCCGCCTCCGCCATTGTGCATCCAAGGAGATGTTGGCGAAAGTTATAAAAAATGGAAACAAAGATTTGAGATATATTTATTAGCGACTGGAGCAAATAGTAAACTAGAAGATCAAGAAAAAGTAGCATTGTTATTACACTGTATTGGTGAAGAAGGTATAGAAATTTATAACAATTTCGAAAAAACTGACAAGTTGAAAGAGTATTCAAATGTTATAAAAAAATTTGATAGTTACTTCCTACCGAAGAGGAATGAAACGGTTTGTAGAAACATTTTCTTCAATAGAAAAATGTTAGAAACAGAGACATTTGATGAATATTTAAATAATTTACGTACACTTAGTGCGGAATGCAACTTTGCTACATTAAGAGATAGTCTAATAAAGGATCAGATAGTAAGAGGAATAAGGAAAAAAAACGTGGTTGAAAGACTTTTAAAAGAAACAGATTTAGACTTGGAAAAATGTATCAGGATTTGTAAGCTGAGGAGTTGACAGAAAAACAAATAAAAAAATTTAACCTAGCCCAGAAAGAGACAGTGGCAGTTGGTGAAAAAAGCATACAAAAATAATAATACAGAAGAGCAAAAGAGAGAAGAAAAGAAGCCTTGTGGAAGATGTAGTTATGTACATGGTTTTAAGTGTTCGGCATTCTACCAACAATGTAAAAAATGCAAAAAATTTGGACACTATGCTAAAATGTGCCGGAATAAGATTCAGCAAGTGCAGCAGTCAACCTCATCAAGTGAAGAAGATAATTATGTGTTGGGAATAACTTACAAAAAGGATTTACAGGTCAATGAAGTTCGCAGTGAGATGTATGAGT